TAAAGGGGTTAGGTGCTGGGAATGGTGGCACACACCTATAATCCCACCACTCTGGAAGGCTGAGGCAGGAGGACAGCAAGTTCAAGCCCAGACTGAGCAACTTAGCAATTTGGCAAGACACTATCTCAATATTTAAAATTTTAGGGCTGGGGATTCAGCTCAGTGGTTCCGCCGCCTGCCTCAAACCAAGGTCCCGAGTTTGATCCCTGGTACCAAAAAAAAAATTTTTTTTTAATTTTAAAAAGGGTTGAGGATATAGCTCAGTGCAAAGACCCTGGATTCAATCCCCAGTAACACACAAAGGAGAGGGGCTGGGGATGCAGTTCAGCACGAGTATGCTTGCCTAACATGACCAGGGCCTTAGGATCAATCCTAAGTACTACAAATATAAATATGATTTTAAATATTGATACTATGAATCAAAGATCAAATGATACAGTATCTTTGATGGGGGGAGGATAGAAAAGGAAGCCTTTAGCTGAGCTGATTATAGGGGACATCTGAGGAGAGGTCCTGAGAAGACCTAGGAGAAGAGCATTCTAGGGAGAGGAAAGATCAAGGGCACGGGCTGTAAGCTGGGATGAGCATGAACGCAAGGCAAAGGGACAGGGACAACGTGGAAAAGGGAAGGGAATGATACAGAAGATGACAGAAAGCAAGAGTAGATCAAGGAGAATCCATGGATCATGAAAAACACAACTAGATCCTAGAGAATCACTTCAAATAGCCCCTAAAATGGTGATCTAACATGGTAAAATCTCGTACATCTAGGTAGAGCTGGTCACAGCCTCACTGAGGGATTACTTTCAAGTTTCCTCTTTCCCGAACTACCCCCTGCCTGCCACCCCTAGAGGCCAGGCCAGGCCTCTACTTTGAGCACACTAAAAATACTTCCACTAGGCTCACCCTGCTAGAATTATCTAATTTTAACTACATTCTAAAGAGATATTAAGGAGTCAGTATTCAAACACATGTTATTAGATCTCATCTTACTGCTTAATTTACTCACTGTCACTATTAAAGTAAACAAGGAGGTTAGACCAAATGAATTCCCAACTCTGAAGCCCAAGTTCTAATGTTTAAGTCATAGGAAAGTTTCAGTCTAGGTCATATTTTGGAAACATTTTTCGGCACAGAGGTTTAATTATTCTCACCATTCTTACTTATTGCTACAGAGAGGGACCACAGAAGGGGCTCCGTAAATGTCTGTTGAGTGAAAAATGTATAGTTCTACTGGATATCTAAATTCCCACTAGGCAGGTGTGAGGCATAATGGTGAAGATGTACTTCAGATGCCTTTGATGTTTCTGTAGGAATACAAAGCTTAAATCTTAGAGAAGGAAGGGCTGTCTGCCTTTTGAAAACACCAAAGAGACAGGCAGAAATGAAAACAAGCTCAGCAAAGATCAGTGCTAAGAAGGACCAAGTGTCAGAAAACTAGAAATCAGTTTCTAGGCTGGGGACGCCGAAGCAGGAATCTGGATTTTCTGAGTGAATTTAGCAGAAAGGATAACAAACACAAAGACCCTAGGAAATGAACACAGCAACCATAAAGTCCAGTGGATCTAACTAGATTCTGGGAGTCCAGTGGCTTCATCAAAGTAACCCTGTGGTGGCCACTCTGCTGGTCATCCAATGACACTCCTCCACACACAGTCTTTGTCTCCTTCGTCTATCTGCCAACTCACTCAAACACCATTTCTTCATGTCTAATTCTTCGTTCTTTTTGTCTGTCAGTGTCTCACCTCATCTACTGGGGCTATGTGCAAATTAGTAAAAGTCCTGAAAAAGAAGTAATCCTAGTGTCTGTTTTTTAAATAAGCACAGTACAGATACACATACAGAGAGCAATCGTTAGTGAACTGGCACTGAATCTCGTGGAGGACAGAAACCACAAGTGTGACCCTCACCGTAATAGAGACTGGGCATACCAATGTACAGTGCTGCACATCCACACTGTTTGCCAAGCACTCATATGGAGCCCATTAGCACATACAAAAGGATGCACCTCTGGGCTTACAGTGGACTCAAAGTCAATAACCACAAGGGGAAAGCTAACATGTGGAACAGATGCCAGCCTTTTTTAAAGTTATAAATAAATAGCTCTGTTAAAAACATATTAGTAGGCATTAAACTTACTCCAGTATTCATAAATCTAGTTAATCTGGAATAATGATCTGCCAGGAAAAAATGGAAAAGGTCGTTCCTCTAACTAAAGCAACTGCTGTTTTCCTCTGGGACTGGAAGAGTCCGTGGAAACATGTCATAGACAATTACTCTTCTTGAGTCTATCTTTGGAAAGCTGTTTTAATGTTTGCTTTTATTCTTTAGATAGATAGGTAGACAGACAGGTAGCTAGATATCAATACCATGGTTTAGTGTATATTTTCTAAGTGATAAAATTAGCTTATGCAAAAAGACCCACATTTATAGTTTTTAACTATATCCAGACATTCTATCTCAGAAATTGTGGTGAAAATGAGGCAAGGGAATGGTTTATCAGGTGCATAGTGGGTATGGAGTAAAGGGGGAGGAAGACCTGGTGATTTCTCTACAGCCACAGAAATCAAAATACAATTTACTCTATCTTCTATTAAAGTGGGACTGATTTTATTCTATGCCTTCAAGAAACACCACTATCCTAAGCACTGCCTACTTGAGCCCTAAGGTTGCATGTCAAAGTGAGTCAGGGGTGGAGGGACCCAGGGCATTGCCAACTCCCCATCAATCCTAATTCCCTCTCCTCTTCTCTAGGGCTGCTCTTTGAACCACATCAGGTCTGGGGAGTGGGCACAATGTTTTCTCCATTTGCATCTAGTACATCTTTAAAAAGAAGGTAACATAGATGGGCTGGGGATATAGCTCAGAGGTACAGTGCTTGACCAGCATGTGTGAGACCCCGAGTTTGATCCTTAGTACCACAAAAGAAAAAAAATTCTGAAAAAAGTGCTAACAGAAAAGATTCTAGTTTTTAGAAAGGGCTGTACATAAAGGACCATTTCCCAACATACCATCCTCCAGTAATGCCATCTTCATACGCAGCTTTCTTTTACAGCAAAGTAGAGCATGCATAAGGAATAGATGATGTCATCAGGAGATACTGCTCCTGCTGCCAATTTGCAGCTAACCTCTGTGAATGGAACCTAGTCCTTGGGATCCAAGAGAGCTTGCCCAGGTTTATTATTCTATTTCTAAGTAGACAAAAGTGTGTTCATAAATGGTTATGCCCTCACTGAGGACAAAGGTCCAATGAGTAACTGCTGAAGCCATCAAAACAGACGGTTACGTGCCCCTGCCCCCAAGGTATAATGAGAGGGTAGAGAGATAAGAGGATTATTAGAACAGAATAAGAGGGAGGAACAACACATAAAAATGTCTACATAGTAAGGCAAGATACTGAGGTTAGATGGTTAATGCTGGATATTATTCTCTCTTTGCAAACGTGGTAGAATGAAAAGAGCAGGACTCTATACCGTTTCCCCTGCTTCGAGGCTAGATGATGCTGAGCAGTTTCCTCCATGTAAAATTGGGATAATGATACCTACCAGGTACCTGGCCAGGGACCAGAGAGACAAAAAAATCAACTTGTATAACTGATGCCTCATCTAATACCAAACACACAGGGGCATTCTAAATAGTAGCCTCCCACACTACACTCTTCTTTTCCCACTTTCTCCCATTTGCTGAAACCTTCATTTCCTCTTTATGCATCTGGTCAAAATAACTTGTAAAACTTGACCTTGATATACCCAAACCCCACTGACCTCCACAGAGCCACCCACATAAGTTCTCACAGTAACAGACACAGAGGCTGAGTCAGCCTCTACAGCTTCCGTTCTCTCCCAATCCAAAGGACAAGTTTTCTCTGGGGGTTGCACAACTTTGATGAAAAATCCGTCATGGGAACAAGCAGTACGGAGAGAACATTTCACATGCTGTCCCAGGCATCAGAAAGTTGCTGTATCACAGCCTTCAATTGTGCAGGCGATGCTGCAGATATTTCACAAAGGCTTTTGAGACAAATGTGGCTCAAAAAAAAAAAAAAAGCTGTACTGGACACAAGCCTCCCTCTAAATTAATGCCGCCATTAATCAAAAACCATTGCTAGGTGTGAGGCCACCTGCTAAAGCTCCAATGAGGCCCCATGGGAAAAAAGGAAAACAAAAGAACACCACGCACTGGTCATGTGGGGAGTGGGGTTTGGGGACCAGAGAAAGGAAGAAGAGTCTTAATGTGGTAAACCAAATAGTCAGGCAACAAAATGCCTCTTCCTTCCTCCCAGTTCAGTTTGATTTTTATAAAATTTTGTGTTGTTAACTATTAGAGAGTATGTCACAGGTGTGTTCCTGTTTTGCCTTTTCTTATTTAGATGAAAACACTAGGAAGAAATGGGTATAGTTAGAAAATGAAGAATAAATATTGGAAATGGGATTTAAAAAGGAAGAGAGTTCTATAGCCAAACTGAGTTTTAAAAACTATTTGTATTTTATTTTCTTTTTAAATTTTGCATATCCTTATATTTTCAAGTAGTATCAAGCAAGAATCAATGTACTTCAGGGGCTGGGGATCTAGCTCAGTGGTTCCACCGCCTACCTCGCAAGCACAAGGACCCGTTTGATCCCCGGAACCAAAAACAAAACAAAACAAGAGAATCAATGTACTTCACATTCTCAAGGAATAGGCTGTTAATACTTCTACTGAACTATACAGTTCTTAAAGCACTATATCATAAGTTCTTGATTAGACCCTAATGATATCCCTGTCAGGTGGACTGCTGTCTCTGCTTTTATCTAATAGACAAGGAAATCGAGGCTAAAAAAAGTTATTATGTGATTTTTCCCCCAAAGTCTTATGTCTAGTAAGAAAGAGTTAGGACTCAAACCCAGGTGTCCTGATGGTAAAGCCAGATCTGTTCTTCTCATACTAGGCTCCCTCTTGGCAACTTCCCCATCACAAAAAAAAAAACAAAAAACAAAAAACAAAAAAACTGCAGCTCTTACCTTCCAACTCTTCTTTCTCATAGTGAATGTTGAGAATTGTACTGGTCCCACCCTGATCCACCACAGCTTCTTCATCTGGTCTCTGTTTAAACACAAGTTAAGTAAGTAGGTGTGGTGATACACACATTCATTTAAATACTGGTGTACCTTATATATGCCAGACCCTTTTGAGATACCTGGGGGGAAAGAAAGAGAATACAATGATTTACATATATTTTTAAATTTGAACTTCACAACAACCTTGAGATGCAAACATAGCAGCCACTTTCTTTCTCATTTTATAAATGAGCAGTCTGAGATGTAGAGAATATTAAATTACTATAGCCCAAGGTCACAAATGCAGTAAAAGATAGAGCTAAGACTGAGATCAGGTCTTGTGACTGCAGCTCCCATGTCTTTTCCCACCTATACATCTTTATAATGATTTGGCATTTTGCAAATGCTGTCAAGCATGTTGTCTCATTTAATATAAACTGGTATTCCTGATCTCTGTCCAGCATTTGAGTGTTTATTACACTGTCCTTGAAACTCTATCCTGCTCTTCTGATCAGGTCTCTTCTGTGTCATCCTAAGGCTCATCTTCTTCTAACTTTAATTCCCAAGGAAGAGCTCTTGATCCTTTGTTTCCCTCTCTTGGATCTTACAGATTTCAACTGTAGCCTCAAACTGTGTGGCTCAGCACTTGGTGAGCCACTAAGATCCTGCACCTCAAGATCCATGTGTCTAAAATCAAACTAACCTTTCTTCCAAAAATAGTACTCAGTCCTTATTCATTTATTCTTATCCATAGAACCATCATTTCTTAGCTCATATTTCAAATTTATGTATTTATCCATTCAATACATATTTAGTGCTTCGCCATCTGCCTGCAGAAAATTAATTCCCTTTTATTATGAAGTGTCCCTTTGTACTTTATTTCAAATTCACTCCTGTATCTCACCCACTCTGCCCCACACTGTTTTGTCTTATAGATTATACAGCATTTTTCAGCTCTGGAGCCACCTTCTTCACTGAGTGCTGCTGTCTGTCTGGACTCCCATTCTCTCCCTGCAGCTCCCATCCCACCATGGGTGGCTAATACAACATTATTCATCATCTCAGACCTCAATCTAAATGCAATCTGAAAATTCATTTGGAATCAGAAGAGACCTAGAATAGCAAAAGCAATCCTGGCCAACAAAAGCAAGGCAGGGGTCATCACAATCCCTTACCTGAAATTTTACTACAAAGCTACTGTAATAAAAATAGCATGGTACTGGCACAAAAAA